AGTTGACCATGTTTGGGGACCGCTTAGAGAAGCGCTCGCAAGCCGTGCATGGTCTCGCTGGCACTCGACAGCTCCCACCTACTCACAAGACGAAAGGGGGTGGGTTTGGCAAGCTTTGTCCGTCAGGAGTTTGGGGTTCAAGGTTTAGTCAAGGTTCTGTCGAGCTGTGGAGGCTGTATGAGCTTGCGTTTTGTCTGTGTTTCAGATGCAGGAGCGGTGCTGACCAACAACTCCACTGGTAGTCATACCTCGGACCTGTACCCGGAGCTCTAGACCTTAGGTTTTTGTCGGTTGGAACTTTTGATGCAGACAGCCAGCTGACCAAGACGAGGCAACCCGACAACCAAAGCCTTAACGCCCTAAGCCCGCAGTTTGCGATCCCACAGCTGACACCAACCTCCTTGAGAGGTCTTCGAACAGTCTCATGATCACTTTGCACGCAAAGTCATAATAACACCCTGGCAGTGCCCCACAAACCAGAAACTCAAAACTGTCCGCTAAACGGCATCACATGGCCTTAGGTATGGCCGAGAGATCCGAGCCACTCAAGAGGTGGACACTGGGAAGAATTTTATTTTTTTCTACGGGTAGACATATATGTATATAATTATGCGCACCTCACCATATAATGTAAATCTGTATATATATATATATACACACCAGTATATATATATATATATATATATATATATACATACATACATACATTTATGCAAGACCACGCACATATATACATATATAGAAATATATATCTATAGATATCTGTATATATATCTATATATATCTATATATATCTATAAATATCTATATATATCTATATATATCTATATTTATATCTTTATAAATCTATATATACCTATATATTCATATGTATACCTCTGTATGTATGTATGTATGTATGTATGTATGTATGTATGCATCTATGTATGTATGTAAGGATGCATGTATGTATGTATGTAGGTATGTATGTAGGTATGTATGTATATGTATGTACATATACACATAACTGTATGTATGAGTGTCTGTTTGTCTGGCTGGCGGCAGGCTGGCTTTCTGTCTGTCTGTCTGTCTGTCTGTCTGTCTGTCTGTCTGTCTGTCTGTCTGTCTGTCCGCATGTATGTATGTATGTATGTATGTATGTGTAGGTAAGGAAGTAAAGTTCGAGGATCTAAGCAAGTGCGTACGTAGGAATGTATGTTTGTATGCCTGTTTGTTTCCGTATGTATGTTTGGGTTTTTACCCTGAGGGTCCGTGTACTCCCCTGAGGAGTACACAGGAATGTCCTGTAAATAGAGGTACATGGGGCTTAAGTTGGCATGTCCGTGCAGGAGGCGTGCTGGCATGCTCGCTCCGTCCCCTCAGAAGCAGCAAGACTGGAGGTAGGGAGTGGCATGTTTCGACGACGAGAAAGCAGATACTTCTGCCACATGTTAGTGCACATAACCTACGATTCCTCGAATTCTGTGAAAGCAGATCATTTCATATCCAGTTTTCTCTTGCTGTCAATATCATGGGGCTGCTGCGCGGAGCGGTGCGATTGCAGCACCAACGAGGTGCTTCCCCCCCTCTGCAGTAGAGACAGGTTGCACATGTTTGCGCAAGACACGGATTGAGATCATGTGCTGGATTGTGTGGTGTGGGCTGTGCATACCCTTCGAGCTTCGCTTGATCTTTTTGCAGTTTTTTTCCAAAGCTTGAAGCTTAGGATTGGGCCTTAGGCCTCCTAGGCCATGGCATTTTTGTCGGAAGCTGATGAGCATGGCGTGAAGCATTTGTATGAGCCGTTTCGTCTCCACATCAATGCAGCTTCATCGCAATCCAGTGCATCACATGACACAGATTCTCTTCCATAGTGTGATATCGGTGACATGTTCCCAACCCGAGGCTACTGCAGAGATGATTTTCAATGTCGTGCACCAGCATGTGCAAACGAAGCTGATGCCAGGGATCATGTCTGATCCAGACTCTTTGCCAGCATCACTGATACGTTGCTGCTAGTCCTATATATAGCTTCATCGTTTAAATATAGTAGGGTCGTGCTCTGCTGAGGATCGGCGAGTTATCGTCTGGGATTCCGACCGGAGTGTTGCAACCAAGCTCAATCTTAGAGTGCTGTTGTGTGGAGTCAGGCAGGTCTTGCTACAAAGAGAGAGAGAGAGAGAGAGAGAAGGATAGCAACATAGATAGAGCAGAAATTGTGGAGTGACAGGGACTCCGAGTGCTCATGTGTGTGTGCCGTGTGTATGTGCTTTCCATGTTTAATTCGGGCTAGATATATGTGTGTTGTTTAGGGCCTAGCGCTCATGGGATTTTACTGATCTCACAAGTAGCTGGCATGGGAGTAATGTAAGTCACAACAGCACACATCACGAATGCTGCCGGCATAACAGTCAACGATTAACCAGCATCAGCAACATAAAAAATCAGCAACCCAAATGCATAATAACAACAAAATCCGAAAACCATAAATACAGCATCCACTCACGGTAAAAAGAAACGATATCATCAATTAACTTGCTTGTTCCACTACTCTAACATACATTATATATAAGCATCACAAGCAGCCACTGCCACTGCCACTCTTGCCACTCCACTGTCTATACCTGTACTACCCCCTCCTCTTCGTCCTCTCTACTCGGTTATTATGAATATTTGTATTACTACTACTACTACTACTA